CAAAAATTTTTTTGAAAAAAAAAAAAAAAAAAAAAAACCCATTTGCCCTTCTTATTTTAAATTAGTAAAACAAATAACAATGAAAAAATGCAATTAAAAATTTGAACATCATTTTAAAGCACGTCAAAAATATTTTTGGACGAAAATATGATTAATAACAATATGTTATAATCAATAAAATATTAAAAATAAGAATGTGATGAAAAGAAAGTTAAGGATAGTGTGATAAAGAATAAAAATTAATAACCTTTAATTAAAATATGGTATATTTACCACACAAAAAAAGAAATAATAATAAAAAAAAAAAAATTTGTTGTGAACATAACCACCCAACAATAGTATGGTGATATAATCAACTAAACCGACCTGTTTAAGAGACGAGCTAAGGATGGCGAAACAACCCATTCAACCCGATGCTCATAGGGGCTCGCCCTGAATGGGGCAGGTAATACCCGCCTAACCGGATACATGGGATGGGTATGGGGCGAGGGTCATTACCTGAAACGAATATGGGACGGGTACGGGAAACATAGTCCCTCCCCATTACCTTCCCGATTTAATATTAATTTCAAATTTATGTTTTTATCAAATAAAAAATAATAGATTTATGATTCTTTTTAAAGAGAACATAAGTTGTTTTTAACAAATTAGTAAAAAAGTAATATTATTTACTAAACTAAGGACATAAAAAATAAAAGCAAAGAATAAAAAGAAAAAAAAAAAGAAAAAATAAATAGGACGATATGGAGAAGGAGATTTGCCCCGTCCCGCTCCAAACTTGCATCGCCCCACTTTAATCGGGTATAAATATGGGATAAGATAACCAAAAAACTCGACGAGACATGAGTGAGAATGATTGATCCGTTCCATACCCGCCCCATTGTCACCTGTAAGACGAGCCAATGGACAGTACAGTCCTAATAAAAATGTTACCAGTCTAAGTTCAGAGGGATAACTTGGACGGGTTGTTCCCAACATAGATTTGGAGCCTTAGACGGTCTTTCACATACTCCAGTAAAATTTGATCGGGTGCTAGTAAAACGGTCTACTTGTGCAACTGGATCGGCTCCATGACCAATTCGGTGAAATTCTAATAACTATGATTTTCAACAGTAACTTATATAATTTATTTATTTTAAAAGTAAAATAAGTTTCACTTATTTTTATTAAGAGGGTGTATTCAATCAAAATTTTCGAAATCTTTTTGAAGTGATCGACATTTACTGAATTCTTGGACTTTTAATAACTTTATATGGAATAAGTGGTACTCTTTTATAAACTTCTATAGATTTTAATTTTAAAAGTTATTAAAAGTCCAATTTAATCGTTTTAGTAACAAATAGAGGGAAAGAATAAAAAGNTTTTTTTTTGCCCCAAATACTAATAACCTAAGATGAGTAATATAATATTCTCTAAGTAAATGTATTAAATAATTAGCATAAGAAGATACAGAAAAGGAAGGAAATGAGAATTTAAAGCTATCACATATGTTCCATCTTAAAAGTTGTGTCCTGATGAATGATTTACGCTATGTTGATTCTTTTTATGAAATTAATTTTTTATTCAGATTTGGGGTTTATTGTTCATGCAAATAATTTGATCATAACAGCTATAGTTTGGTTGAGTCTTAACATGAAAAATAGATTTCAGAGATTAAGAGGATGAGGTAAGTATTGCCAAGTTAGCTTCCCCATAGTGGGAACAGCCAGCTGGGCCTATATGGTGGTGCCCTCTTTTTATAGGCCACCCTTTTGTGGATGCATGGCTGAGCAATGCCTTGTAGTTATATCCTGTGCTTAGCATTTTTTGAGAGATGAAAGTATGAGGTAAAACTCCTAAAAATTCTATCACATTTCTTGATTATGGATGTAACTTTTTATTTTTGAATTCCAAATAGTTGTCTACTGAATTTGTGTGATGAAATTTACCCTTAGGGATTACACTATTATCCATTATCTAGGTTGCATTCGCCCATGTTTACATGCATGCTTTCAAGTGTTCCTTACATTGTTGTAAAATGCGAAAGTGTCGTTGACTTCAACCGGAACATTAATATGAGAGAGAATTGATGGCCATCGTGTTCGCCATCCAAAAGTGGCGCCATTACTTATTGGGTAGACACTTCGTGGTACGAACAGACCAACGAAGCTTGAAGTTCTTGTTGGAATAGCGTTTGGTGAGCGAGATGCATCAAAAGTGGTTAACTAAAATCATGGGCTACAACTTTGACATCGGATATTAGCTGAGGGTGGAGAATAAAGCTGCAAATTCTCTTTCCAGAGTTCAGCCGGCTTTGAATCTGTTGGCTCTGTCCACTTCTAAAGTGCTACAATTAGAAGATATCAAGAAAGAGGTTGCTGCTGATGGTATTCTAGGAAAACCAGTGCTGAGCTGCAATTTGAGAACAGTGTGAAAGAGGGATATGCCTTGATCGACGGCGTATTATGTTAGAAGGGGAGGGTTGTTCTTCCTAGCCATTCCAATTTTGTCACTCTCATGTTACAAGAATGCCATGACTCTAAGATTGGGGGACACTCAAGATTTCTTAAGACATATAAGAGGATTGCGAAGAGGTCTATTGGCAAGGGATGAAGAGGAAGATGAAGGACTATGTGGCAGGATGTGGGATATGTCAGCAGAATAAATATACGGCTTTATCGCCTGAGGGGGCTATTGCTTCCTTTACAGGTTCCCAAATCTATCTGGGAGGATATCTCATTGGATTTTATCAATGGACTGCCACAATCGAGGAGAGTTGACACCATTTTGGCTGTTGTGGATCATCTAAGTAAGTATGGACATTTCATAGGGTTAAAGCACCTTTCACTACCCCCCAAGTTGGTGAGGAATTTAGTCAAGAGATAATTCGCTTGCATGGTTTTCCTCGCTCTATTGTGTCAGATAGAGATTGCTTCTTTATGAGTACATTCTGGACGAAATTATTTAAAGCATAGGGGACTGCCCTTACACACAGCACAGCCTACCATCCGCAAACGGATGGACAAACAGAAGTCCTGAACATATACCTGGAGACATACCTGAGGTGTTTCGCTTTAAATAGGCCTCAAGTTGGGAGTCAGTTCTTGCATTAGGCGAAGTACTGGTATAACACTTCTTTCCATACCGCAACGAGACATTCTTCGTTTCAAATAGTATATGGCCATGATTCACCCCACCTATTGGCTCTTGAAAAGAGGTTGACACCTTGTTCATCTGTGGATCAACTTTTGCTGGAATGAGATGAAATGCGGGAACTATTTATCTCAAAATTCGGCCTTATCGTCAGAAATCTTTGGCTAGGCATCCAAATGAAAAGTTATCTCCTCGTCACTATTGCCCTTTTGTGGTTGAATCGAAAGTGGGAAGGGTAACGTACAAGCTTAAACTCCCTGCCTCGGAAGCTATTCATCCTGTTTTCCATATATCCCAGTTGCGTAAGGCCATTGGTAATGTTAAGCCCATTTCTGCTCTCCCTCCACAGTTCTCTGCTACAGGGAAATTCATCTTGGAGCCAGAGACCGCTTTGGGAGTTTGCCCTAATGCTATTCACATTGCTGTAGGTCCGGACATTTTGATCAAGTGGAAGAATCTTCCAACGTTTGAGGCTACTTGAGAACTTTTTTAGACAATTCAGGTACAGTTTCCTACCTTCCACCTTGAAGACAAGGTGGATTTTGGGGCGACGGGTACTGATAGACCCCCCATAAGATTCAAAGGTGCAAGAAAAAAGAAAAGAGCGGTTATAACCAACGTGAAGAATGCCAACTTAGCTTCAGTTAGTTGATAGGAATAAAATAGTAATTGTGCTCTGTAAGCGAATGAATGAAATGTGGGTGGGAGGGGATTGTAGGTAGGCTTTTACTGATTTTTCAGTTAGAAGGGGGAGTGACTAATCCTCTCTTATAGCCTTGGAATGTGTCTCTAATAAACCCCCATAAGATTCACATATGCAAGGAAAAAGAAGGGAAAAGTTATGACCAACGTGAAGGATGCCAACTTAGATTCAGTTAGTTGATAGGGGTAAAATAGTCATTGTGCTCTGTAAGGGAACAATAAAATGTGGGCGAGAGGGAACTGTAGGTAGGCTTTTACTGATTCTTCAGTTAGAAAGGGGAGAGTCCAAGCCTCTCTAATAGCCTTGGAATGTGTCTCTTATTTTCCAAAAGTTCCATCAATTGAATTTATAAACTGTTTCGTTCTTCCGATGTTCTTAGTTGATTTTTTGCAGAATTTCCAGTGAAGAAGCCACATCGTGAGTCACAGGACCAAGGGACCTATCAGGTTTTTATCTAGCTTGCTGGAATTTGGTTCCACATTACATTGATCTTTCATGTGTTTGATTAAAATAGGTTGATGTATTGTCATTTCAAAAAAAGAAGCAAATGGCTCCCACAAATTATTTTTTACCGAATACAAGTGTAGGGCTGTAGCTCAAGAAAGGAACTTCACTTTCGAAAATTCCACGTTAATTATAGTGGTGCAAATGGTGCATATTACTCTTCGTCTAGAACAAGGACGATGGGTAATGATGGAGTAAGTAAAATTCAAGTAAAAGTGATTCTCTTTTTGAATTTTCTGCTGGTTCGCTTCTTAATTCTACTTTATAACAATGGAAAAACATAAGCTAATTCATCTATAGGTCAAGCATCTCATATACTATCAAGGGAGATCTATGAGAAGGTGTTATCTCTGGTCCTTTGATGTTCATCATGTCTCATTCTTTCATTGAGTTATTAATTTATATATATTTCATTTGAAATACTAGAGGTAAATACTAGAGGTATATATTTCATTGAGTTATTAATTTATATATATTTCATTTCGTTACAAAAAATCTAAACGCAAATGGTAGGATGGACACAATGCTAACCCTACATATTCTTATTGAAGGTATGTATTACTATTCCATGATACATTTTATGTAACTTTCAGTTCACTGTCAATTAATTTTCTTCCTCGTTTAGATGAACTTGGTGGTTTTAATGACATTCTCAGTGCTCGGGTTGGTCATTGTTTGGTGAGAAAGAGAGATATCATTGCCCATTATACTGATTACAATGTCAGTGTTTGATTTTCGTGCATTTTTTTTTTGAACTTCTCTGGTATCTTTCAATTTTGAAGACTCTAGGGTCTTCTCAAGTTGTCTTATGGTTGCTAAAATTAGCAGCAAATGCAGTGTAACTATAGAATGTAAATAAAAAGATTTCATTTTGAATTCTTTTTTTATTGGACTTTGTGGTTTTCAATCTTTATGTGATAAGGTAAGTTGTGAATTCCCTTTCTTATCGATGTAAGTTATTTATAGAAAATTGTATGCTTTGTTTATTAATTAATTGGTTCTTTCATGCTGATCCAAAATGATGACTTTTTGTCTTCCAAAGATGCATTCTTTAATTCACGCTAGTTGATAGTGTCAACTACTGTGGTTTCCTAGCCTTTTTTGATGACCTATCACTGTGTATACTAGATCCTGTGAAGTACATCAATTTATTTTGAATAGGATTCAAAATATGATGCATCAAGGCGTAGCATTCATACTGCTTCTCATTAGAACCTATCGGCAAAAAAGTTTTGTTTCACTAGTATTTATTAATTATTTGATACCAATGCTCTCAAGTGCTACTTTATCACATGTCTCTTAATATTATTTTTGTCACCTATCATTATTTCTTTAGATGTCTTTGTTTATCATTTTTACGAGTCTCACACTTCATCAAATATGAAATTGTTAGCCAGATATGATAATTATATTGGGTGGCACCTTCTGTTATTCAGTATCTAAAAGTAATTTGTCCCTATTAAACAAGTCTAGAAAAAAAGCTTCCAATCAAATCTCTTAATATTATATTGTAACCTATAATCATTTCAGGTGCTTAAGTTTGATGTAATCAATGCATAACACAAATAATATTTTTTGTATCTACGCTATAATATAATCAATTACTCAATGACTTGTGCCTTGCACGTGCGTTTCACTAGTATATATTAAAATTTTCTAGTGTGAAATTCTTCCAAAATCTTGAGATGAATGAGAGACAAATTTTGAAATGTTATTTTAGTACTTTTTACTTAAAAGTTAGTACTTTAGAAACTTTTATAAAAGTTTTTAAAAGTTACTGGTATTTTGAATTATATTCATGACTTATTAAGACTTCTAAAAAATTTTAATTGAATACATCGAAACTTTTAAAACTTTTTAAAAGTTCATAAAAATCTCGATTGAATACACCAATACTTTTAGAAGGTATTAAAAAATCTACATTAAATACCCCTATGTTGTAAATTATATGTTTATTATTGAATGATGATTATACCCATGTAGCCTTAGTTATTATAATTATTATATCTGTTGTGGCCATAATAATTTCGTATAATTATGGAACTTTGATTTTCAATCAAATGCACACAAGTCTATAGACTTCTCCATTTTCTTCTCTTTTACTTATATTTCATAACATGTTATTAGCACAAAGTTCTAACTAATTGAGTAAGCAAAAATTTCCTATATCAGTTTACAAATCTGTAATCAATTTGAGATAGCAAAAGCAATTTCTTATAAGAAAAAAGAAGGCAACATTACTTCATCTATAACCAAAAGAAATTTCAATTCTAATCACCATTTGCATCATAATTAAAGTCAAATCATTAAAAAGTGTAGTGATGCTTATTTTCATGTGAATGGGAGAATATGCGTGTTTTTAATATCGACTATCTCATGGTATTTTTTTATATTTTTTTTAATATTATGTGATTGCATAACTGGAAGTCAATTCTTATTCCTTTAGGGGTGTGTGTGTGTGTGTGTGTACACACACACACACGGTACCAGAAGAGGTTGTTATTGGGCTGGCCTAAAGTCAAGAACAGTTCCAGATGGTCCAATGGATTAAGCCATTTTCAGAGGATGACACGAAGAAGGAAAGTTAAGAAAAACCTCCCCGTTCATAAATGAAATAAAAATTAATGGAATTTTGCTATTTGTATGAGCTTCCCAAGACAGAGGTTATGTCACTACCGGACACTAAGATGCGGAGGTTTAATCATTCTTCTCAATCGGAGTGGAAAGGCCCGTTGACACCTCGAGCTATATCCCTGAAATCGCCTCGTTTTCGCTTTAATTTGAAGTCGCTCCGTGGAGTGGGATTAAAATGATCAAACGTCAAGGGTTGCAAAATCAGCTTTTTATGCAAAAAAGAAGAGTAAGCAGAGTGGCTGTTGGTTTCGTTGAAGACATGAAGGCGAGAACTCGTAAATACTTTCTATATTAATCCCATGGCTATCTCATTTCTTGTAATTCCCTCGCAGTTCCACAGGTTAGTGATGGAAGAGGCGGTACGAATGATCGCGACAACCAAGAACAAATGCTACGAACTCGAGTCTAAGTTGGTGGAGTTCAATAGGGTCAAGTTCTCGGGCTAAGAAGAAGACTACCAAGGCAGCTGCTGCTCCCAGCGCAGCTACCATAGAAAAGAAAGCCAAGTGGGTGCCGTTGAGGTCTGTCTTCGTGATAAGAAGAATCTGGGCAAAACCTCTCTCCTAAGACCCGGTTAAGGTAACTCACTAAAGGGGCTAAGGAAATGATCCTAGACAATGAAGAAGATAACCCCCAAGGTCTTTCATGGCAAAGGATTTCTGAAGTATACACACACACACATATATACATACATAAATACACACACATAAATGAGTGTGTGTGTGTGTGTAGTTGCACCATTATTCTTCTTTTATTGATTCCTTTTTTGTAATAATGCATCATGTTGTTGCTTTTTAATAAATACAATATTAATAGTCTACTAAAATATTACTTGCTCTTAAAGAGTATAATATTATTAAATTAAACATATATTATGTTTTTGCTCTTGGCGAATAAATCCTTAAATAAATGATTTTGGAAGGATATTAGTCTTTTGTTCTTGAAGATGTACTACAAAATATTATTTTTCAAAAAAAAAAATGAAGATAATAATATTTTCTCGTGCTCTCAAAGTAGCAATATCTCAAAGGAAATTGTACAATCTGATATCATAAGAAATATGATCTATAATGGAATTTTACGAAAATAAGTTATTTATTCTTGAAGAATCACAACTTCAAAAATCTATAAATATAGAAGAAGAATATTTTATTGTTGCTTTTAAAATAATTTTATATGACAGCAATATTGCTGTCGCACATTACTCTCTCAAATAGCATAATTTTACAAGATCTAGTATTTTATAATAATATTATGTTATTGCTTCTAAAAATTGAATGTTACATGGTTAGTATTAACTTATTGATATTCCTGAAGTTAAACAAATTAAACAGCATAATATTGAATTTTAAATTTTGAAGAAATAACTTTCTATTTTGTTAATATTCATAAAGAATATTAATTGTTGCTCTTGAAGATCATGATATTTTGTGGTTTCAATATTTTCAAAGAATATTATATAATTGTTCTAGAAGTAACATAAATCTTGATACATTAAAATTATTTAAGATATATCATTAAGTATTTGCTTAGTAGATAGTGCGAATATGTATATTCTCCAAGTACTTCTTGAATATTAACAAAATAGAAATAATGTTAACACGACATTGAATATATCAAATATCGTTGAAAACTTTGAAAGAGTTAGTATTAATTATCAAATAATAAAAGACTATATTTCACAATTCACTTTATTACAGCAAATCTAGAAATACTTAACTTATTTTAAAGATATTTGCCACAATGGATATCACATTATGGTAATACAAGAAAATAATATTGAATATATTTGTATAATTTTTTTTGGTATTTGACCAAAAGCAGAAAAAAGAAAAATTTATGCACTCCACAATGGTCGTTATATTCATATGAATGATTGAATCGAACATTATCACCAATTCAAAATTAGTTGGCTAAAAAAAACTTATACTTTAACATAATCGACTTGGAAAGTGACAGTCATGTGTATCTAAAAAAATAATAAAGCAAAAATCGATGTTATTATAGGACAATTTAATGTAGCAAATGAATCTCAAATACATTAGGAGCACGGTTGGTTGATACTAAAGTCTATGTACCTAGAAAGAGAAAAATAAATAAAAGTAAAAGAAATAATATTAAAAAAATTGATCGATCAAATATTGATGACATAATTCCTGTAGAACCACAAATGTTTGAAAATAATAAAACTTCAATAAATTATGGAAACAATGCTATTATTTTTTCTATAACATGGCTCTTGAAATCATATAAAATAAGTATGTTGAATCATGGGTTACTAAAAATTGTCAACATAAACCTCCTTTGGCCTCCATTAAATTTCATTTCATTTTTTTCTCTCTCCTATTTTCAACCACATAATGTTTCATAAAATAATATTACACTTCAATTGAAAACCTTTTTTTTCCTTTTCAACCACTCGATTTAAAAAAAAAAAAAAAAAAAAAAAACACAATTCCACCTATTTTCATTTCAAAAAATGGGAGGCAAACGAGGGCATAGAAATGGTTGGCAAAATAGAAAGAGGTCATATAAGCGGAACACCTGAATTTATAATTCCTGTAATATACAAGTCGATCTTTGTAAAGAAGAGAAATAAAAATAATGAAATTACAATGTACAAAATTCAGCTCGTAACCTAACGTTTCTACAAAGACTTAGAATTGATTATGAAGAAATATATTCTTCTGTAATGGAACAATCACTTTTAAATTTTTAATTAGTTTGACATGTGTAACAAAGGCTTACATGCATTTTATGCATATAGTAATTACCTATCTACATGGTTCACTTGATAGTGGCATATATATAAAAGTTCCCGAAAGACTTAAAATTGCTAGAAACAAATGATACATGCCCAAGTACTATATTCTCAATTAAATTGTAAAAATTATTATATGGATTAAAACAATCCCGATGTATATGGTATAATCATTCGAATATTTGGTGAAGGGAGATTATAAAAAATAAAGATATCTACACCTGTATTTTCATGAAGAAAACAAATATGGAACTTATAATTGTGATAGTTTATGTAAATGATTTAAATCTAATCCGAACTCTTAAAGAGCTCAACAAAATTGTAGATTATTTGAAAAAGAAAAATTGAGATAAAAAAATTGAGAAAAACCAAAATTTTATCTTGGGTTGCAGATTTAATATTTTCAGAAAGATTATTTGTTCATCAATCTTTATATACATAAAAAGTCTTAAAATATTTTTATATGGATAATGCACATCAATTGGCATAACCTATGATTGTTGATCGATCGTTTGATGTGAAAAAAAGATCTATTTTATCCACTTGAAGATGGAGAAAAGCTTTTTGGTGATGAAGTGACATATCTTAGTGCGAATGTAATTGATCAACATAGAATTTTATTATTTATTTATTTATTTGTTTGTTTGTTTGTTTTTTGTAAATATCCTTACAAGATATAGTTCTATATCAACTCAAAAACATTAAAATGATTTTAAAAACATGTTTCATTATTTGAAAGGTACTATAGATATGAGATTATTATATTCTAAAAAATAGGGATCTTCTTTAATCGGATATTCAGATGTAGGTTATCTCTCCGATTCACAAAAAACTAAATCACAATCAAGATATGTATTTACACGTGAATGAATAACTATATCATGAAGATCTGTGAAATAAAATTTTGACAACAACATCTTCAAAATTTTCTTAAATTATTGCAATCTATGAGGTAAGCCGACAATTTGAATCGTTGAGAAACATGACACACCATATCTAAGTATCATGCGGATTTGTTTCAACAAAAGACTAACAATATTGTATGAAGATAGTACAACTTATATTGCACAAACTCAAATGAGACTATATAAAAGAGATATGACAAAATATATTTTTCTAAAATTCTTCTATACATATGGGCTTTAGAAGAATGACAACATCAATGTTCATCAAATTTGCTCAATTGACAATGTGACTCATTTATTCCCACAAGCACTATTGACATCTATATTCAAAAAATTGGTGAATAAGATTGGAATTCGTTGTTTAAAAGATTTTTAGTAATGAACATCAAGGAGTTGCTGCACTGTTTTTTCTTTTCTTTGATTTTATCTTACCGAATTTTCTTAACAAGATTTTAATATGGAAGTCTTTATTTTTAATACTTCAAAAAATAACTGAACTATTTTTCTTTCATTTGATAATTTTGTCACATTGAATTTTTACCTAGAAAGAATTTAACAAGATAGATATATTATAATATGTCTTTAAAGGTGAGTGTTGTAAATTTTATATTTATTAATGAATGATCATTATACACCATGTAGCCTTAGTTATTATAATTATTGTATTCCTTACATTTATAATTCTTTCCTATAAATATGAGATTTCGATTCTCAATTAAATACACAAAAGTACTCTATTTTTTTAATTTATTTTTTGAATAATGCTTGTTGTGCTCCAAACTCGGACCTAATTTGAAATATGAATATTTTATGACCACCTAATCTGTGTAAAAGTCAAGGTCGAAATACACCAAGGTTAGCTTGGACCAATGATCGTCGTAATCCTAGAGAACATCATGATTATAGATTCTATGTTATACTGTTAAGCCAGTCAGCTCCCCCAATCAACAAAGGACATCTGGCAAGTATGATGTCAGCACCTCCTTTTCCACCAATCAACTACAAGAGCCCCTTATCCGATGTTAACTCATCATTCTCTGATAATACAGAAGAGCCAGCATCATGATGATCTGAGAAAGGCCGACCTTGACGGCCAATCAAAGACCAGATCACTAAAATGCCTCCCAAGCTTGATACTGTTGCTAATTTGATTTACAAGACTTAAGTTGGCCAAGGAAAAGCTCACCCTCCTTATAAAAAGAGACCAATGGTCGTTTTTCAAGGGCCAGAGTTCACTTGACATATCCAAAAACAAACACCTTGATTTAGCACTTTTCTTTCCTTGTGGAACGATCAAGTGATTGTACTCAAGAATTATTATAAATAAATAAAAACACCTTCTATCTTGCAGTTGGCCCAAAAGTTATTTTTACAATTTTTGACATCAACGGTTTAGCGATAAAAGGAGGGCTAGTTTTGCATAAACAACCCCATTTCTCCACAAAACGAATACTAAGTCAACACACGACAAAATATCATCATGAACCGCAATTCGACGTCTAGTAATCAATCCCACACTCATCCTAATAAAACCAATGCCCCACCAAAGATACTTCTGGCCCATAATAAAATAAGATGCCTTAGAATTTGTAAGAAAGTGCGACAAATGTCTACGCTTCGCTCCCACCATCAAAACCCCACTAGAGGAGCTCAATTTTATGATTGTTCCTTGGCCATTTTCTAAGTAGAAGTTCGATCTTATTGGCCCCATCCCACAGGAAAAGGTGGACCCAAGTTAGCAATTGTATAATTGACTACTTTACTAAGTGGGCTGAAGTCAAACCCTTTGATAAGATGACTGAGCAAAAGACCATTGACTTCATATGGAAATTCATTGTGTGTAGGTTTAGAATACCGTATTTCATCGTGACTGACAATGGAAAGCAATCGACAATTATTATCTTATAAACCTTTGCGAAAGACTTGTTATCAAAAAGCATTTTTCCACACCGAACCATCTACAATCTAATAGTCAAGTCGATGCAATGAATAGGATCATCAAACATACACTAAAGGCAAAGCTCGATTCTCTTAAGGGAGGATGGGCTCATGATTTCCCCGGTGTGATATTGTCTTACCACACTATGTCTTTGACTAGCACTGGAGAAAACCATTTTTCTCTAGTTTTAGAGGTAGAAGCTAAGATCCCACTGGAGATAGAG